TCCCTTCAACATGGCAGCAGAATGGAGATAAAAATATGAAGTTATTGCTATGGTAACCATCTCAAGCATTTTCCGTGTCATGAGCTCTACCTAAAAACTCATGCCACGTGAGGTGGTTCCATGTCTGCAGATTTCCCTCTCTTAGTGTAGTTTTGTATGTGCCTGAAGAGGGTACCGAGAGACAGTTATTTGCGGGGCTTATTGATAACAAGGCCCAGTGCTTTTGTAAAGTGTGCCGCTACTGTATCAATCGGGAGGAGGAAGGTACTTTTTCGCTGTACTTGGTTTTGACAATAGTGACGGTTTTTGGTAGTGTTGTGCAAGGCCTTCACTTCCTGTGCACCTCCATACTGTCTCCCTGTTACCGTGGCAACGCCGGGAGATTAGAGGCTCAATCCACTAACATAGAACAGTTGTTATTTGCCAGCTGAAAAAACTATCACATGACTGAAATTAACGATCATTATGGCTAATATCACGCGCTCAGTAATTTCGGCACGCTAGCCTGATTTGGTAATCTATAATGTTATCTCTCACAATGATTGTTTAGTTTTGCAATTGCAATGGTTGTAATGGACAAATAATGATTATTATAGTGCATTGAGAGCTGTAATTGGTATTTTCAGCTCCCATTGCTGAAAATAATTGTTATAGCCGAGTGAATTGAAGGGGAAGGCTGCGTGGGGGGTTCCATGTAAGATACTAAGCCGTCACTGGGTGCTTTAGAACAGCCCTGTGACACCAAAGTCTTCCACATGTTAATTTACTTATACGGCCCATCTAGATAAATGGGCAAAGGTGGGGTAAGGGCTGTGGTGGGAGTTTCATTTATTCACTTGTATATATATATTTTTTTTAACCCTTGAGAAAACACATAGGTAGCAATGGTACCCAAGGATACGCCTATTAATTTTTGCGCAACAAAAGGAGTCTCACAGTCGCCTTGGTATCTGATGTGTGAACGCAAATCTGAGATTGAAGCACCACACCGCAAGTTGAAAGTCCAGATACAAGTTTATTCCAATGTAAAATCAACTGGAATATTGTAGAAGAAACCAATGTGTTTTTCGGGGGCCAAGACTCACCCCCTTCATCAGGGCTTAGTAGTAGGAAACTGCTGCGTTTGGGGAATTCCTGTGGCAAGAACCTACGGATTCTTGCGGCAGGAATCCCAGGTGTCCTTGTTCAGATGCGGCCACCAGGGAATCCGTAAGTTCTTGCCACAGGAATCCCAGAACGCACGTACAAGCCCCATGTGAATGCTTCAGTCTCAGATCTCGTTTTTTTAATTCTGTCCTTGTCTCATTGGGAGCATTACCCGTCTCAGAGTAAACAACAGGAAGTAAGAGTCAGGCTAGGTTCACACCTAAGCGATTTATCGCACCGGTTTAGCCGCACGATATCTCACACAACAGAGATTTCCACGGAAACAGTTCACGCCTTTGCGATTGGCTGCACGTTAGAAATCACCTGTTGTGGAAACAGGTTCAGGAGCTATTTGTGGGTGCTTGTCGCAAGGTTTGGGGCTCATAGACATCTCCATGCATTGAAAACCGCATGGTTTTTAAAGCAAGATTGCCCAAACAAAGAAGCGCGACAACCACGTGAAAACAGCTCACCAGCACAATCACCTAGGTGCCAACCTAGCCTGAATCTATCCATATTGGGGAAAAGTCCTTTTTAGGGCAGTTGAACATTTCTTTCTACTTCTTTTCTGGTGAAATCTGTAGAATTTTGGATTTCCATCACTTTCTGCCCAGCTGACTTTGGCCACTCAATAGAAAACAGGGACACAAATGGCAATAAGAACCTGACAGGAGTTCTAACCCTTCCATATTATCCAAAACTAGAAACACTTTAATATGACCCGTTCAAAATGCTCTACATGGCAATGTCTGTCTTCCCTTTCTCTGGACACCATATTGTTATCTCCAAGAATACAGGTGCTTTTTAAAGTGGACCTTTACCCCCTTTCACTAAAAATCACATCGGCATACACCTCTGCATGCTGATATGAAATCATCTTACATTCATTAGTTAAACCAACATATTTTTATTTTACTTACAGTTTCTTTTCTTCCACTTCCTGGTCCTCTTGGGCACAAATGATGTAATCGTGCCCAAGTATTGCATCCTGGCAAGGTTACATCAGCAGAGCATTGCTGGAAAATCTCATCTGTAATCTCATGAGATCTCAGGGAAAGGCATTTTGCTCCCCTGAGATGATATGCATGGTCACATGTTCTAGTCACATGTGCCAGAAGTCCACAAAGTAAAAGGAGATGGATTAATCTGCCCTTAGTAAAAATGGCCACTGTGAGAACACTGGGGAAGAAAATAAAAATAAGGTATACAAAGAATAAAAAGCCGGCAATTATCTAGAAGAATGTGTTTGTTCATTGTCATTACTAAAGATTTCTAAAAGGGCCTTTGTTGTTATTTTGAAGATAAGGGTAAAGTTCCTCTTTAACCACTTACAGGCATATAAGCGGTCTCATTTTTATCTCATGTTCAGCCCTGGGCCTGGCAATTCATGTAAACCCTATACATAGGGGTTCATTTATACAACTTATAGCCGGGCAGATGCCGTGTGCACAACACTAGCGCCCCCAGATGGTGATGACGAGTATAGGAACTTCCTATACTCGCCAGTGGCATCTAGGGACACTAGTGCCATGCAACCGGGTGGAACTTTTATAAGCAAACCCCGTAATGTACACTAAAAAATGCAGCAGCCTGCTCACACCTTAATACACCATTAATACCTTTATTACAAGAATCAGACTTCCGATATGATCACACAGTTACCACATACAATTACAAAACAACAGACTGTGTGTAACAGGTTTAGGACTTAGGAGGTCCATTCATCGATGGTAGATCTGAGCACATTGTACACTTTCAATATACACAATAAATAATACTGGTCACATCTGTGAAAACATTGCATTATATTGTACATTTGTGCATATCTACAGCAAGGGATTTATCTTGGTAGATTTAATGATGGTGATCCCTATAGGTAAGAGGAATGTAAACTACTGCAGAGCTCTGTGTTTGATGCTGTTATGCCAACTTAGGAGCTGGAAAGCAGGTTGTGTTAGCTTAGGTTCAGGCAGCTGATATGGCAACAGTTGTCTTACTTCAAGAGAGCTTCCTCAGACAAATGAAGTCAAGAATAACAGAGTAAATATAGATATTTAATAGTCAAACTTGCAACATTATTATAATTTAAGACTTTAGTCTCATTTGTGGGCATTGTGGGGCCAGCAGTGGATTCCTGCAGCAAGAATCAGCGGAATATTGCGGCTGGAATTCCAAGTGGTTCCGTAAAGCTGTCCGCTGTTATATATGTATCTGCACATCCAGCAGGTACCTGCTGTGTCCCCCGATGGGAAGATGTCCCATCTCTTCCTGTCCCACTGACACCTCGTCACCAGTGCAGGAAGTAAAAGGAGACCTCCCTTACAGGGACACAGCAAAACTTGACAAAGGCCCTAACCCCAGCTTAGTGTATTCATTGTATCCATGTCTGTGTCCCCATTGGAGAAATATCCTTTGCCTGCCCCGGAGAAATGTGTGTAATTGCAGAAACACTATATGGCCAAAAGTTTGTGGACACCTGCGTATCACACCTATATTAGCTTGCTGCACATCCTATTCCAAAACCATAGGTATTATTATGGAGTTGCCCCCTTTGCAACTATACAGCCTACAATTCTCTGGGAGGGCTTTCCACAAGATTTGGGAGTTTGTCTAGGGGGAATTTGTTACCATACGGCCAAAATAACATTTGTGAGGTCAGATACTGATGTATGAGAAGACCTGGCTCGCATTTGGCCTTCAAAGTCATCTCAATGGTGTTCAGTAGGGTTGAGGTCAGGGCTCTGTGAAGGCCACTTGAGTTCCTCCACACTAAACTCATGAAACCATGTCTTTATGGAGCTGGCTTTGTGCACAGGAGGCACTTCATGTGAACAGAAAAGGGCCTTCACCAAACTGTGACAACGAGGTTGGAAGCCCACAATTGTCTTTGTATGCTGTAGCATTAACAGTACCCTTCCCTGGAAACACCATATCGGGTAGTTACCTCTTTTCTGCTCACTGTGGCCACCTGTTGCATTTGCTTTTGTGCTTTCAGGGTTCTCCTGCCTGTCTGTCATGTCTGGCTCACTGCACTCCAGGTCTCTTTCCTGGCCAAGTGTTCTGGCCAAGGGTACCTACCATACATGGGTGTTTGATCTCTTCACTTTATAGCATTCTGAGTGTGAGCCTGATAGCTTGTATTCTTGACTAAAGGTCACATACATTGTGCGATTTTTGTTCAGAAATAATACAAGAACGGTCTTTCGAGCAAAAATCGAACAGTTGATGGTACATCACCGATTTCCGTTTTTTATATTGTGATCAAAATTTTTCATTCGGTCAGGCTGGAAAAAAAAAAGTTCTGACCAAACCAAAAATCGATGAATCAGTAGGGTTTTCGCTAGTCAAAAATCTCTGCAAGAACACAGCACATGCAAATTATTTCCATCATTAAAAATTGGTTGGCTAACGAACGATTTCTGAAATCAACATTTGACTATGGTTAATGGGAAAGTCCAGGTATACTCGAACGAGGGTTCAAGCCAGAAACGAAACATTTCAAAAGAAAATCGTCCAATGTACCTTTAGTCTCAGAAGTCTCAGTCTCAGCCTTAGAAATCACAATTTCAGGCTCTCAGAGTCTTAGCCTAAGAAATCTCAGCCTTAGGAGTTTCAGCTTCAGAAGTCTCAGCCTCAGAGTCTCAGCTTCAGAGAATCAGCTTCAGATTCTCAGCTTCAGAGTCCCAGCTTCAGAGAATCAGCTTCAGAGAATCAGCTTCAGAGAATCAGCTTCAGAGTCTCAGCTTCAGAGTTTCAGCCTCAGAAGTCTCAGCTTCAGAAGTCTCAGCCTCAGAGTCTCAGCTTCAGAGAATCAGCTTCAGATTCTCAGCTTCAGAGTCTCAGCTTCAGAGAATCAGCTTCAGAGTCTCAGCTTCAGAGTCTCAGCTTCAGAGTTTCAGCCTCAGAAGTCTCAGCTTTAGAGTCTCAGCTTCAGAGTTTCAACCTCAGAAGTCTCAGCTTCCGAGTCTCAGTTTTAGCCCTGGTTCACACCTGGGCGTTTTACAGCTCTGATCGACGCTCTGTAAAACGCCCAGCAAGTGAAATCCCATTATTTCCTATGGGCATGGTTCCCACCTGGGCGTATTTAAGCGTGAAGGAATGCGCTGAAAAACGCACTACGCCCAAAGAAGTACAGGAGCTTCTTTGGGGCGTATTTTCCGTGCGTATCCATTAGGATACAGCTGGATAGCCCTCGTAAATGCGCGTTTGTCGCCCGTTTCGTTGACCGCAAATCGCGGTAAAAACGCACGTCAAACGCGCATATTACGAACGTCCAAGTGTGAACCCAGCCTTAGAGTCTCAGCCTCAGCCTTAGAGACTTAGCCTTAGAAATTTCTGCCTTAGGAGTTTCAGCCTCAGAGTCTCAGTCCTTGCTTTTGCTATCCTGTCCCTGTGCTCTTGTCTCCCAGTGTGTTTTCCCAGTGTGTTTTTCCCCTCGACTACTGCCTAGTTCTAGTCCCTGTTATCTGCCCTGCCTGTTATTCCTGACCTGCTGCACTCCCTGAAATTGACCATCCTGCATGACCTTACCTTGCTAGTACACCTCCTGCCCTGCCCTTGGCTTTGTTAATAACTACATCCCTGCTCAACTCTTTGGCTTAGATCCTCAGCTCTTGTTACTCGCTGGCAACGACCTTGGCTACCCACTGAGAGTACTCCAGTCCTCAACTCCAGCACCTTCATTGAGAACGGCTTTTGGTTAAAATCTGATAATCTGGTGCTTCTGATTCTGGTGCTTAAATCCTGGGGCACCCAAGTACTGGCAATGAACATAAAGCATCCTTGAACAGTGGGTGAAGCATGGCACAACTGTGGCCATCAGACCTCACCAGAGGCCCAACATATTACATACCAGAACTCCATAATTTAAGAGGTGCCCACATATGTTTGACCATATAGTGTACATACCTTTATATACATCAAATACCTGGACACATTCCTAGTTCACCTTACTGGATGAATAAAACGCCAGCAAGCAATGTATTCTACAGCAGAGATTTCATCTACTGTACATTACAACATACAAAAAATGATATGTGCAAAACACTGAGGCCGATATCTAAAAACAGAAGTCAAGGTGCGGTTGTTGTCCATAGGAACAGGTCAGTCGCTCTGTATTCAACTTTTGCTCCAGTTTCATTTGTCTCTGTTGCTGTTCCAGAATTGTGTTTGCCTTTCACATTATAGGCAATTCCATGCTATGTGTACAGGTGTGAAGTCAGCCTCAGTGATTACTCCCCAACTGCTCACAATTCGCTCACTATTCAAAAAATATAAGAACTTATTTTACAGTATATTTTACATATATTAATTGCCAATATGAATCATGAAGCACAGGCCCAAATACTGTAATACACATAGAATAGGGAGGCTGCAACATGAATCCAATCATTATAGTTTGGCCATTTAATAGTGTTGTAAATGAATCACGGACAAATGTAGACAGGTGATTAAGAGGCCCTCTAACCCTTATTATCCTTATCCTTATATCTGGCCCAACTGTAAGACCTCCTTGGCTGCTGCTTATAGGCTACACTGAACCCTTCGAGCAGAGGTCCCTTTGTCCTCATAAGCTTGGATAGTACTGTAACCCATCCAGATCCTTTGGACTGCATTCAGCAAAACTGCTAAGCTCAACCCAATGTTGGAGGGGCTTAGACAACATCTTTGCTTGCCCAAATTCTATTCCATCTCCAATTCGGCTTCTATAAAAATATCAGTATTAAAATATACTTCTGTAATTCTCAAACTATCACAAACTTGCCAAGTCCCCAAAACACTGTTACCCACAGCCCACACGTTATGTGCTCCTTCTGGATGGTCCCTCCCAGATCACACTCACTTTCATGGTGGGTCCGCCCAGATCATGCCCTCTTTCATAGTGGGCACGCCCAGATCATGCTCAATTTCTGGGTGGTCCTGTCCAGATCATGCCTGCTTTCTGGGACATCGCTAATTATGATGCATTTCCCACTTGCAGTGTGATCCTCTCATCAGTAACTCAAATATGGGGGATGCTGTGATCTTGGGAGCTATTGGGTATACACACAAATATGTTCCAAATTACCTTGCTTCTGTGCATAGGGGCAGTCATATTGAGCGTTACTCATGCAGGATGTTCCTTCTGCTTATTTTTCTGTAATCATTCACTAACCCCCCACCCATCTCACACAACTGCTTACTTATTTAATACCAGAGTCTTCAATCCCATGGCAGAGGTACACATTTGGGGCAGAAGTGCAATCATGAAAACACAGGACAGAGAGCTGAAACAAATGGGAACATTGCGTAAAAAACAACTTTCAGGTAAGCATTACATTGATCAACAAAAGATGTACTTACTGAAAATTCACTCTGATTTCCCATTAATGAGTTAGTCCATTGATTGGTTAGTCCATTCAAAACTGAAATTCTGGTTTAGGTTGATGTTAGTTGGTAGGTACAAGTCACCTCAACTCCCAGGGTTGGCCACTGGCCTTTGCATCTGGAAGTGTGAAACTTTATTCTGGGGAGGAACTGAGCTGCTGGATTCAACAAGCCAGTTGGGTTATTCAACTCTACCCATAAATTATCAATTTAGGCAGATATGACACCAAGAGGGTCTATTCATAAAGCAATGAATGTAACTTTTAGCAAACATTCCCTGGTGGAGAATCAATCACCATCATCAATCACTGTCATTTAGAATACATGCATCTGGAAGGTTCACCTGCAGAGAATGTTTGCTGAATGCCATATTTGCTTCTTTATAAATATGCCTTCAAGGAATGCAATTATATATTCATTACATCATTTTAAATGCATTTTAAAAGTCAGTGCCTGAATTTGAGTCGGCATTAACCTTCTTAAAATCCTCTGCACAGCAGAGCTCAGATTGGTAGAGGGACGAACAGCACCAATAGCCAATCAGAAGTGCTGCAGTGCACATGTAATGTCAGGAGGAGAAAGCAGCATGAACAGTGGGATAAGCTCCATGGTCTGCTGCTTCTGCTTTACTGTCCAATCACAGGTTAGGGGCAGGGAGGTGACCTGGCTGTATTGCCTAACAGCAGCAGAAAACAAGTCAGGTCACCTGCCTGGCTCTACTGTCTGGAAGCTCTGTATACATCTCAGGACTAGCTTGTCAGAATTACCTGTCCTTTGATAGACAAAACAGTTTCCATATATGTATTTCAGCCGCATGCCAGGAGTAGTTATGGAATGTCCCTCAGCATCCTCACATCTAATGCAGTTCAGTGGACCTGCATAAGACCTAATGACAGTGGTCCCTTAAACCGCTGGACAGAAAGGGAGAAGAGACTGTGGGGATCAGTTTGGCAGCCAAGAGAGTTGGCAGGACCGAGGATCAGGTGAGTATATCTGCTTTATTTCAGCCCCCTAGACAAAACATTTAACCCTTTCAGTGCGGGGGTAGTCCCACCGCGAGGGTAAGTTTTTTGCTTGCCTGGAGTTCTTCTCAGACAATGTTTTTTTCCCCACAAGTAGCTATTTGAATATCAGGACAGACATTGTCACTACACAGTGTAGGTGACGGGAAAGTCTATTTCAATGGGTGACAGATGGGCCTGGGAAGAGTAGGATGGAGGGATATAATTCTGCATATTGGGCATATGGGAGTACAATGGCTGCCAATATGCCGATGTCAAAGACTTGCAGTTGCAGTACCATCCGAACAGGAGCGCAGCTGTGAAAAACATCCCGCCAGAGCTCCCAATAGCAAGAAAGACGGCGATGTCGTAGCTGAAATACGGTCCATACTTGCTGTTCAGAATGCTGTTATAGAGGATCACCCAAGCAGATGGGGTAGCGCTCATCACACCCGCCAAGCACAACAACATGCCCGCCACGAGGTGGCAACCGGCGCTGTTGACCAAGCACTTGGCCAGCTTTAGACTCGGCATGTTGGAGCTGAAGGTGGTGTTGCAGATCCCAATCAGGCATAGAACAAGAGCCGAGGCGCCAGTCAAAATACTGAAAGGAAGCGCAAACTGCAGGATGCGGATGTCAAGCTGGTCCACGCTGGCGTACCAGTCCCGGTCGTAGATCATGCACTCCCTGCTCCACTCTAGGCGGGTGCACTTTACCCATAATCCCATGCTCACTGTCAGATTCTTCTCGTTCCTGTTGAAGGTGTACAGCTTCATCTGTCTCCATTGGGGAAGCAGAGTAGCAGTAAAGAGCCCAGCGACGGAGGCCGTACCGCACACGAACGCAAGCAGAGTCACGGCGTGCACCTCCTGGCAGCCCATTGGAACCTTTGGAGATGACTGTTGAAAAGATGTAAAAAAACATTCATTTAGAATGATGTGATTATTTATTACACTTAGGGATCGATTTATTAAAAACTCATAGCTTATTCATTCAGGGAAACTGTTGGTACATTCATTCTGTGCGATGTAGCCAGCCGTTGTGAAAATGGGTCAAGATTGAATGTTCTTAGTGTAGTTTCTCTTCTGGTCAAATGCTTTTCAATAGATTAATTCTTAAAGAATGAGCATATAAATGTAACTACTGCTATCCCCGTAGTATTAATGGTTACATCTATACGCTTATTCCCGCCATTGTATCTCATTACTAACATGTATTTAATCCCTGTGTTACTCAGCTCCATCTAGTGGCCATAATGCCATATTTTCCCCATTCACTCTGAATGAACCTATTGAAGAACATCACATTTTTTATAAATAGACCTCTAAGAGTCATGTTAAAACCCACCTTCAGTCTTTTTTGTTAGTTTTTTTGGTCAGGATACAGCACAGCAGATCCTTCTTAAAACAGAAGGTGTTCTATCCCAAGTTTCAAATATGAGGGCGTTATTCTTTGTTTTAGGATAGTGGGCGGAGCCATGCAAATAACTTCTTTATGCCTCATGGCCAACTCTATATCTAAAACGGCTGGGTTAGTGCACAGATGCAGCCTAATATTATAGAGCCATTTATTGCAAACTACATACAACTGTTCCAGGCTTGTTGGCCATCAACAATGCAGTGCATGGACACCGTGGCTGGTATAGAGCAGGTTTAAAGCAGGCTGAGCACAATCAGAAAACAATTCCTCATGGTGGAGATTAGCTCAATTGTATAGCGGAATAAGAAGCTTTATCAAAGCTGCCCTGGTATGCAAAACCTTCTTTTTCCTGATATCCTCAGAACACCAACTGCACAATCTCCTAGTTGGAGTTGACGACTCTTATGCCACAAGCATGTCAAAGACAAGTAGGAAAGTCTTACTCCTGTTACATTTTAAATGAGGAACACAAGACTTACATGTACGGCCTTTATTGGGCCCTTATATGGCCATATTCAATAAAGATTTGGGGATGGCCCCTTCCTGTTCCAACATGACTGTGCACCAGTTCACAAAGCAAGGTCCATAAAGACATGGATGAGCAAGTTTGGGGTGGAGGAACTTGACAGGCCTGCACAGAGTCCTGACCTCAACCCGATAGAACACCTTTGGGATGAATTAGAGCGGAGACTGCGAGCCCGGCCTTCTCGTTTAACATCAGTACCTGACCTCACAAATGCGCTTCTGGAAGAATGGTCAAACATTCCCATAGACACACTCCTAAACCTTGTGGACGCCTTCCCAAAAGAGTTGAAGCTGTTATAGCAGCAAAGGGTGGGCCAACTCAATATTAAAACCTGCGGACTAAGACTGGGATGCAATTAAAGTACATGCGATGTAAAGGCCGGCGTCCCAATACTTTTGGCAATATAGTGTACTTTAGCAACAAGCAAACTGAACCTGTGACACAGAAGAAGAGAACAAAACCCAGCTTGGTTTAAATTGTAAAAGCGTTAGTTAACTCAACCTACAAAAAAAAGTAGCCTTTCCATAGGTCTTATTTTAATATATATTTAATATATGTGCATCGTGGCGTGCTGCAGCCAAGCTACATTGGCCTCTACTTAAATGGGGCATTGGGGCGTCATTTTAAATGAATCCCAGCACACCCACAAAGTGCTGTGTGTTAAAATGTGTTAGCGCTACAGCGCTACGCATAGCTGTAATGCCAGCCTTTTGTTTGGTAGGTTAATGATGGCATCAAGTGTCAGGGCGCTCACAATATTGCTGCCAGAAAGAACATAAAATATAATGTTTTAACACATACAGCCTATATAAGATCAAAAGCAAATAAGCAACCACATCCCACGACAACGTAATTGTGACTCACCTGCTCTCAATGCCTTCCGTCAATGCACAGCCAGTAATTAAAAGGAATGAGTCCACCTTGAGCGAAGAGGTCTCCCTGTTGTTGCAGAACGCTCCCAGCAACTACACTAATTACTGTTTCCGAAAATTAGAATGTGAACCTGCGCTGGAATTCTATGGACAATCCACGACCCGTAATTGAGCTCCCAGCAGCAAGCACAGCATCCAATCTCTGCAGGGCTGGAAGCACCAGCTGGGGCTCAGTGTCATGCTATACAATGGTATTCTGCATCTCATCCTGGATGAAGAGAGAGAGCGAGGGAGTGGTGTGACAGTCACCTACCACCCACACAGGCTGGGGGCTCAGGACTGCAGACGCTGCTTCGTTGTGTCACACTGCACATGCCTAGCATCCCAGAGCAAAGGATTCTGGGAGTTCAGACGCTGGAGCTATCCGTGTAGATGTAGTAAATCTCTATCCAGGAGATTGCAAATCCCAGCATGCTCTATGCTTCTGCATAGATCAAGTGATGCAGCTGTGGAGGGTGGGTGCTCTTAACACTCGCCTATTGCTGACATGGGTAATACATGTAATAATATCAAAACAACAACAAATATATGGCTACTACTACTAATCATAATAATAAATAAAATGTAAAGGAAAACATAATTAGCAATAATAAGAAATACTAGTATTACTAAGATTAGTTATAACTATAAATATGAATGCAAATGTTTACAAAATACACATAAATATGATTCGCAAGGAAAAACATTTTTTTTTAAATAATGCAAATGTTTATTAAAACAAAATCTTCAAATAATTAGCAACAGCAGAAAAAAATTAGAAACATATAAGGAAAGTTTATAAAATACATGTAAAAATGATTAACTATAAAAAAAAATTTAAATAGAAAAAATAGAACATATTAATTTTAAAAAACACGCTAAAATGATTAGCAACAATAATAAAATGATATATATATATTGTGAGATTTAACTTCAAATGGTAGCGCATTAAGGACGCATCCACTCGCTGAAATCTTAATTTCAAGACTTCCTTGCCCACTTTTATTAAATGACAGTTCACAAAACAAAACAATTACCCTCGCAGGGGTTCTTTAGCATCTCTTGGCAGTACATGCCCATCCAGCCTCCTGGCTTTGCATTTGCAGCACCGCTGCTCTGGCCTCAGACCACTGTCTGTACCTCCAGACAGCCTCAGTCGTGTGCTAACCTGCACACTGGGTTTTTTTTTTTTTCAATCCGCAGCACCCTGCTGTGCTGGACTCCACTCTGACGCCTTATATTATATATAAAAACTTTTAAATAATACATGTTAAAAAGATAGCAAAAGATATATAATATTATATTATAACATGTGCTGTGGTTCACTTCGCTGGCCTTATATCACTACAGGATGCAGGATCCGATGGATAGAGCCTACAATCACGTAGTAGAAAATTCACTCACATTATCACATCGTATAGCAACGTTTTGGAACCATATGTTTGCCTGAAGAAGGGACCTATACGGTTCCGAAACGTTGCTATACGATGTGACAATTCTTTTATCAATAAAGAACATTGACTGATATTCTCATTGGAGTGTGTGAGTGACTTTTGTACATGATACTGATCTGCAGAGGCATCTGCTGTCTCTTCTCACCCACCCATTATCTTGGGGAACATCCAGGTCAGGAGTGCGATGGGATCTATTTGAATCACCCTACAATCAGACACGTAGAGTTGCTTTAAGGGCCGGTGCACACCTAGGCGATTTATCGTGTGGTTTGAGTCGCGCAATATCGTGCAAAACACAGATTGGCATTGAAGTCAATGGAGGCTGTTCACACCTTTGCGGTTTGTCGCGCGGACTAAATCGCCTGTCACGCGAAAAGGTGCAGGAGCTATTTTCGGTGCGGTTGTTGCACTGTTTGGGTCCCATAGACATCTTTATGCATTGAAAAACGCCAGACAGTTGCGCGGTTTACAATGAACAGTCGCGATCGAAAACGTGTGAACACAGCTCAGCATCTGAATCGCCTAGGTGTGAACCTAGCCTAAGTTGAAACCTTAAAAAAAAAAAAAAAAGATTAATTGTCTTGGAAGGATTATAGTAAATGGATTTTATTGGACATGTACAGTAGAGAAAACATAACACTGATTATAACATTATATAAAACATTCATAGTGATGGACACAATTAAACTTGACATTCTGACAAACAATGGCACTCCCGGAAGTGCAGCAAGGCATATGTCAGACCATTTATGTTTATTTGTTGAATGGTCCGCAGCAGTACAGATAATAGTGACCAGCAACAGTTTTTTTTTTTTTTTTTTTAGATCCCTTTCAAAAATGTACCGATAGTGGAAATCAATGTAAACAGCTAAATTTACATCTGTTCAGCCAGTTGTTTTTTTTAATTCAGACACCCCAACCAGGATCAGACCCAATTTAAATCTATTGCAGTTAAAGCCATACAACTTGGTCAAGGACCGCCCCTCCTATCAACAAGCCCCGAGGTACCGTACATAGTAATGACTAATTGGCTTGCAGTGCTTCCCCTTCTTCTCCCAGTCTGAATCCTGCTCTGCAGAGAATGACAATACAAAGATAGACTGACGTTCTATTGAAAATACAATTAAGGACGTTTCTAATGGATACATAACTGGGTATTTTATATCTTGCTACACTTTTGCTTGATGTCAAGGCACAATTAAAAAGAAGCCACCTCTGGTGGACCAAAATTAGGTCCTTACCCCTCAGCTAAGTATGTTTCCGGTCTTAATGGGTCAGACTGGGAGTCCTTTTATTAAATCGTCGTATTCAGTAAAGTTTTGAAAAGGATCACCGGTATTGGAATATCGTTGGTAATATTATCTTTATTTGTATATAGAGACAAACTGGAAAGCAATTACCATGTAGTGTTCAGTGGGATGCAGAGTGGCAGGACACATGCTGCGAGTATAGTGCTGGTCCTTGGCAGTAGGCTGGAGGGTAAGCCCAGTGGTATGCAGAGTCATGCTTTATAGAGCTGGCCCTATCAAATCCAGGCTGCTCCTACAATGACAGGCAAAACCTTCCTAATAAACAGAGTCCCAGCATTTATTCCTGCCCCATCCGTATGTTGTGCAATGTACCCCACATTAGGAGTGTGGCCTCAGATATAAATGCAGCATAAATAACATATTTACATATTTTTTTTGTGCCTTCCTAACTTTGCTTCCATTTTGCAAAAAAAGGGCCTGCCTGACTACCAATGAGTTTACTGATTAGTCTCATGTTAGGGCTTATGTCTCTGATGCACATAATCACAACAGAAAATGTATTATGAAAGTCCCTAGGAAGACCCGACCATGCGATACCCAATTTGGGATTTCTTTTCGGGTACAAATTTACAGAATTGATAAAATAAAAGGTGCCCACACACCTTGCGATAATCGTAGGAAATCCCACGATCGTACGATTATCGCAAGGTGTGTGGAAGGCGTGCGACCGTTTCTACTGTACGGTCGCATGACTTTAGTCTTTCGAGCATGTTCGAAAACCAGCCAAGAATCGTACGATTTTCGGCTGGTTCGTAGCATGATCGTAAGATAAATGCCGCACGGGCCGGTGTGCGCAAGAGCCGGCCGGGCGGCCTTGCGATTATCGCAAGTACGATCTGCCTGTCCAAGATGGGCAGATCGTACGTTTTTTTAATCACCTTACAACCATCGCAAGACAAAGGTCTTGCAATGGTTGTAAGGTGTGTGGCCAGCTTCACTCTAAAGCAAACATATGTTTTCCTTCTTGACCTCGCTAGAAACAATTGGAACTCTGTTCCAATTATTGAACTCAGATGGCCAGATCTGCCTACTTAAAAAAATCTGGAGATGGGCTTGAAGGACAGCTCACCTATGGCACCAATGTCTATGCTTCTGTAATTCTGCCTAATTCATAATTAGTAAGTGCTACGTAACTGGTCCTCTCTTTCATTTGTCGAAAACACACAAGATGTTTAGCTGTTCTCCTACGCAAGCCTGGGTATATCTGTGCTGTTTTAAAGAGACCCTGCCAGGTTTATAAGTAAATAAAAATGCCTGTTCCCTGCAATAGAGGCATCTCCTACCTTGTCTTTGTCCCAGTGCTGAAGACTCTATCAGTCTCTTCAATTTTTGACACTTACAGGGGTGTCAGATGCCTGTGTTCCCCTGCCAAGTTTTGTGTTTTTTCCCCTCTGACCTCTACATCACTCAGCAGCCATGGGCAAGTGGGAGACACGGGCTGCTGGAGAGGTACACCATGCCTTTTCCTGCAAAGAACTGGCATTTTCATTAACTAAGAGATCTGACAGGGTCATTTCTAGGTATGCTCTCTACTCATTGTTATACGTATATGCCCTATGGTACTCACATAAATTATAGTTGATACCACCCTCTCAGAGGCTCCTGGTAGAGGTATGAGACTTTCGTCTATGTCGGCAAGCACATGCAGCCTATTTTATCATAAATGTCAGAAGTAGTTTTTGGTTAGGTCTCCTTTGCTGCTTAGCAGGGCTGAGGGTTGGAGAATTTGTTTCAATAGTATATTGCCCCTCCAATGCATATCTTTCTTGACAATGTGCTGAAAATCTGCTTGTCCATTTTACTCCTTACATTAAGTGCTGCATGTTTTTTTAAATAGACATTCGAAGATCGAATTAACACTCCTTCACAGTCGTTCTCTAGTGATCCTGTAGTATACTACTAACATTATGATCTATATGTTTTTCATGGGCAAACGCCCTCCAAAACCCTTTCATCTCAAGGTTCTGCCTTTTCTATCACAATAGCCCCAATGCTTTTAAGGGATAATGGATTTAAAGGGTTATTAAACTCTCAATTGTTTTTGCATACATCTACTGCTAGCGGGCAGTAGATACAGTATATGCAAAACGATTTAAAAAAACAAAAACCTTTTTCAGAGTTAATACTTACCTGCGCGCTCCCCGTCCGACAAGGTAAGTCTATGGAGCATCGTGCACCTGCATGCAGACTCCGTGGGACATGAGTGAAGAGGAGGGCAGAGGAGTCAGCGCTGGATCGGACACCCGCACCAGTGCTGGAGGGACAGCTAAAAACTACACTAAAGAAGAAGATGATCGGATTAAGAGACATCATTTAAGGTAAGTCCTTACATTAGCACTTTGGGGACTTTTTTCACTTTAAAGAAAAGTGCTCCATTGGCATTTATATAAGTTCCATGATGCTTTGTCAGGGGCCACAAAACCGTAATTAAACTGTCAAAATACACATCCAACATGTAGAAAAGGGAGGCCGAGAGAGGGCCACAAACAAATTCCACCTGACACTTTTCATATTGTAAGGCAGTGTCCATGACTTAGAAAACAGTATACACCATATCCAAAAGAAAATGTAGACCTTTTGCTATTTAGGCCAGGAGTGAACTGTAGGTACATGAATACACTTTTCTAAATGTGCATTCCAAAGCCAACCGTAGACAGCTGTCCAATGTTCCCCCATGACAACAGGCAAAATCTGAACACTTCCAACCAGACACAGACTGTATAGGTGTAATGGAACCTGAGAGGTGATAGGTGCAAATGTTTAATATTCAACTGTCCTGCCCTTCAATAACCCAGATAGCAAGGATAACTTGCTACAAACTTGTGGCAGGGTGAAATTGTAATTTTTGTTAACTTGCTGCACATATTCCTGGCAAGTTGTAGACTTGCAGAACACTTGCAGCACAAGTTCTAGTTGACACGTTTTGAATTTGTAGCAAATTTGCTTGGCAAGTCTACAGCAAGAGACGTGCAGGTCTTAGCAAGAGCTCTGCAAGCTCGCTGGTCTGGAGACTTGCAATGCAGACTTGCTGTAATTGTGCAACAAAATTGTGAAGCTTGGTAAGTCTGCAATAGTTTAGCAAGTCATTTTCAAACTTGCAGCTCAATTGCTTGTTATCTGGGAATCTATTATCAAATAGCAGGAAGAAACACTCTGCAGGCCAAATCTTACCAAATGGATCTCTGCAAGGTGTAAGAAGTCAAGAAGTGGTCCATGTCATTCATGTTTTCCAGGTTTAAATATTAAGTTTTACCAAGTTTTTCTCAATTATAGGTAGAGTCTGATGGGCCTAAGCAACCCCCTGACATCTTACATGCCATGGAGACTTCAGTGCTAGGAGCTCCCATCCATAGTCCTGGCTCTGTTGCAGCCCACCTTGGGAGTTTTGTGTTCCCAATGCTCTAGCTGCATTCTCCAGAATATCAAGAAATAAAAAAGTATTAAAACCCCTCATAAAGGTTATGACAGGGCTCAACCAAAGCAGATGTACGACCCGAGTTTCTCATCTCTGTGGGGTGGATACCTGGTCTTAATCTGCTGTTTGTTTTTCTTACATGCAGTGTCTGTCACACGTCTGACAACTGAAAGGATTGCTGGTCAGAAGATTACTGTTTCAGATACCAACCAGAAGGTGTTTTCATTATGAGACTCATGACCCATGCTCAAAAATCACACAGCTTGTAAAAAGTAAATAATATACAGCAGATAATTGAGCACCTCCATCTTTTGGTTGATATGCACAACATGCCTACCACTTTGTAGGTGCAAAATAATTTTTATTGTGAGACAAACAATAACTAAGACCAAAAAAAAGAGATCTTGAGTGTGAATTGGTATTCACCCCCCGGAAGTCAATACTTTGCAGAGCCACCACTTGCTTCACATCTAGCTACTGGGATTGTTGCCCATTTTTCAAGGAAAAATGCTGCAGTTCTTTCCCGTTAGATGGGTTAAGATGGTATACAACAACCTTCCAGTCATACCACAGATTCTCAATTGGATTGAGGTCTGGTCTTTGACTAGGCCATTCCAAAATATTTAAATGTTTCCCTTTGAACCACTCCAGTGTAGCTTTAGCAGTATGTTTAGGGCCATTGTCCTGTTGGAAGGTGAACATCTGTCCAAATCTCAAATCTGCGGCAGACAAACAGGTTTTCTTCAAGAATTTCCCTGTATTTGGTGCCATCCCATGTTCCTTCAAACCGGACCAGTTTTCCAATCCCTGCCAATGAAAAGCATCCCTACTGCATGATGCTTCCTCTACCATGCTTCACTGTGGCGATGGTGTTCTCAGGGTGATGGAAAGTGTTGGGTTTACACCCAAATAGCATCTCCCATAATGGTCAACATTTTCAATTTTAGTCTCATCTGACCAGAGAACCTTCTTCCATGTGTTTGGGGGGGGTGCCAAATGCTGTCTGATGAACTACAATCATGTATTCTTATTACTCTTTTACCAATGCCTTTTTTTCTGTCCGCTCTTCCATAAAGCCCCACTATAAAGTGTACGGTTTAAAGTGGTCCCATGGACAGACACTCCCATCTCCGGTCTGGATCTTTGCAGCTCCTTCAGTGTTATCTTTGGGGTTTTTGTAGCATTTCTGATTAATGCCCTTCTATCCCGGTATGTCAGTTTTGGTGGGCGGCCCTCTCTTGTCAAGTTTATAGAGGTGCCCTATTCTTTCCATTTTGTTATAATAGATTTGATGGTGCTCTGTGGGATGTTCAAAGTCTGCGATAATATTTATAACCCAACCCTGATCTATACTTCTCCACAACTTTGTCTCTGACCTCTTTGGAGAGCTCCTTCTTCTTCATAGTAGGGTTGCTTAGTAGGGTTGCAGAGTCCGGGGGCCTTTCAGAACAAGTGTATTTATACTAATTTCATGTGACAGATCACGTGACACTTTGATTACACACAGGTGGACCTTCATCAACTAAATATAGGACTTCTGAAGATAACTGGTTGACCCGCATCTTTTTTTTAGGCGCTTCATATCAAAGGGGATGAATACTTATGCACACTCAGGATTTCTGTTTTTCTTATTTTATTTGTGTCACATTAAAAAATAATTGTGCACCTACATATCTCTATAGGTTGAAATCGATGGACGTGTGTCTTTTTTCAACCTAACTATGTAACTATAAGGGTAGTCATGTTGTGTGCATCACATGGTACAAACCCGCCAAAAAATCTATTTTAATGCCAGGTTGTAATGCAATAAAACAGTAAAAACACCAAGGGTGTGAATACTTTTGCAAGACACTGCATAGAGAACTAAACAGGCCAAAAACAAAGAAGCTTAGCTTTCATCCTGCCATAGCATACCAAGGACAGGGAGGATCCAGCTGCCTTTGACCCGGATAACAGTAAAGAACCAACAGTAGGTCCATTTGTGCCTCATTCCACCCAGTATGGGGAAATACATTTTATGTGAACATGTTTTTCAAGTCCACAGCTCCCTTCCTTCAAAAAGACAATGAACAGTACCTAGTGCCTGGTTTTCTGAAGCAATGGATTAGGCTTATAAGGCCATATGTCCAAACCCATCACTCTTAGTCAAGAAGTGCTTTAAATGTGAACTTTCTGATGGGCTACAAGGTGAGAGCTGTGTGTAAAATTTTTGCCACATTTTTGGCACGTGTAAGGCTTCTCCCCAGAATGGGCTCTCTGGTGTATGACCAGATTGGAGCGGTGAGTGAAACTCTTGCCGCACTCAGTACAAGAGTAAGGTCTTTCTCCCGTATGAACTCTTTGGTGGGTCACTAAGTTGGAGCTGATGCTGAACTTTTTCCCGCACTCGCTGCAGCTGTAAGGGCGCTCCCCGGTGTGAACTCTCTGGTGGGTGACCGCATTCGAACTGGTGCTGAAGGTCTTTCCGCATTCCATGCACATATAAGGACGGGAGCCGGTGTGGACTCGAAAGTGGGTGACAAGGTTCGACTTCTGAGCAAAACTCTTTTGGCAAACCGCACAGGCGTAGGGCCTAGACTTGGCAAGAGAATCCTCATCAAGATCACTGGATGTGTTCTTTATTTCTTCTTTGACCTTCACCGGTGAAGACTTAGTTTGCATATTTAGTTGAATTCGTAACCACTGACGATCTTGGTCCACTTTTTCTTCCAGAGATGAAAGGTTTTGTGCTGCCTTATGGTCTTTTGTCTTTTTCACTTTGGGATGTTTGTCCTCATTGGATTTGGTCCCTTTGGAGGAAAGTTTGGCCTCTTGGTTCTTCTTGGTTTTTGGTTTACCCAAGTCTTTTTGAGTCTCATTTTGCGAAATTTTAGCTGATGCTTCCATTTCTCAGTCTGATGCGTAGAGAGGTCTGTGGTCATCCAGGAAATAGATTGCTCTGCTGAAAACAAAGTGAAAATTATTGTAAGAGAATTGCGTAAGTGCAGCAAATGAACATACACTGCATACCATGATCAGGGTTGTTAAACACCGTGGCAAAGTGAAGGATAAAACCCTTTGGTACAAACTCTAGCCCCATGTGTATGTGATTATTTTAGTAAAAGTTACTGCTAGAAGGGACTATTGGAGGCACCATAGTGTCTAGTGTCATAGTGACTGTACCAAACAAGAGAAAGGAGAGATGGCTTCATTTTTCCAGAACTATGATGACTCATACGATTACTCTCAACATCCTCTGCACCTCCTTCCCCCTGAAGTATGTGAAGAGATGACTTGGTGCTGCCACCTCTATCCCTGCTTTTATAGGCACTGGTCCCCATTTGGTAAATATGATGAATACGGAATGATTCTGGTTGTAGGACCTAAAGAAAAACTCCATCAATGCATTATACCTATAAAATGGAGCTGTAGAGAGTTAGATCCACAGTCAGGTTTTCCCCTCACCCCAACGTTAATGAAAGCACTCACCTTAAATGATGTCTCCTAATCCGATCTTCCCTTCTTTCCTGATGTTTTCAGCCTTCCCTCCAGTGCCGGTCTCCGATCCAGCGCCGACTCCTCTGTCCTTGCTGGCACTTCTTGTCCTACGGTGTCTGCATGCGCGTGCACGCATCCATAGACTTACCTTGCGTCTCTCCTCGCGTCCCGGCAGAAAATGTGAACTGCGCATGCGCCCGCCCCAAGATGCTTTGCGGCCGCCAGAGCATTTTCAAATTTTCGTACGGGAGCGCGCAGGGAAGACAGGGGTAAGTTTAACTCACTGTTAAAGCGTTTTGTTTTTTTTACATATATCTACTGCTAGCTAGGTTTAGAAAGCCTTTAATAGAACAGGAAGTGAGAGAAAATCTAATGGTGTCCTGGTTGGCCAGAAAAACCTAACAGTGGTGCCAATGTTTTCCCACTCTATCCAAAATGTGCAGCTGGTCGGTGTGAATTCTCTGCCTTACCAAACGCTAGGGCCATGGACGCCAGCAGGTGACATCACTGCTCTCAGCGATTCAGCCCTGCACATTCACATAGAAGAGCCGAAGCTTTGTGGTCACATGACCACTTAGAATAAGGTATTTACACCGCGATTCCTGCTAGTATTTCTGCAGGGCAATGTGGAGGCAACTTTTTAAAGTTGGTTTATTGTTAAGCCTTTCCATCTACTTTGGGGTTTCTATTTATAAATGCTTTCATCCAGCATTCACATATTTTCCAATTGAATACAAATATAACCATGTGTGAATCTTGGGTGAAAGCTGTATAAAAAAAAAACGTGTGTAAACAGATCCCTAAATGTGTATTTTTAAAAGAAACTAGTGTAAGTATCTGAATTGGACTTGGTAGCAGTTTATTCCAATGCACTGCAGAGAAAAGTTCAGACTGGAAGAGCATGCTGACAGTAGGAGAGAGCATTGTGGATAGTGGAAAGGTGATTGAGGACATAATCCTTGGAATTCATAGTGTCATAGACATGCATTCGAACTCTGTCTCCCACCCATGCAATAAATGGCACACTTGCAACAGATTCATGTGACTGTCGGTGAGGTGTATACGAGTCTGTTGCAGAATTTCTAAAGCTCACCACACACATTATAATCTGATTGTATGATCTCCTTTAGATCTGCCAACAACAATGCAGTACAAAGGCCCGCCTGATTGGATACATATTGATTGGATAGTTCAGGTAGGTGCTCATATTACATAGATTTGGTAGATCTAGGGATGCACCGAGTACTCGCACAGCCCTCCTGAGACCTCATACAGTCCCCCCCAAGACCTTGCAAAATCCCCCCTAAGACCCCGCAAAGTCCCCCGAGACCCAGCACGGCCCACCTGAGACCCCACACAGCCCCCCCTGAGACCCTGCAAAGTCCCCGTGACCCTGCACGGCCCACCAGAGACCCCGCAAAGTCCTCCTGTGACCCTGCACGGCCCACCAGAGACCCCGCACAGCCCCCCTGAGACCCTGCGAAGTCCCTGTGACCCTGCAGATATCAGGCCGCCCCCCGGAGCAACCCAGGGTATGTAGCTTCATAATATTCTGCATTGCTGTATAATGTATTGCTGGGATTTGTAGTCTTCTATATCTGGTTGCCATTCGACATTATTGTATAAATGTATTGTTGGGATTTGTAGTCCCCTATAGCCGATGCCATTCTGCATTGCTGTACAATGTATCACTGGGATTTGAAGTCCCCTTTAGCCGATGCCATTCTGCATTGCTGTATAATGTATCGCTGGGATTTGTAGTCCCCTATAGCCAGTGCCATTCTGCATTGCTGTACAATGTATCGCTGGGATTTGTAGTCCCCTATAGCCAGTGCCATTCTGTATTACTGTATAATGTATTGCTGGGATTTGTAGTCCCTGTACAGCTTGGAGTCAGTGGCAGAACTACCAGGGGCACAGCATTTACAGCTGCGACCATGCACTGGTGCTCCACCACTATCCTTAAATCATTAATTTGTATTGTTTTAGGAAAACTGTCACATGACACAAAAAAAAAAAAAAAGAAAGTATTGGTAATTGGTATCGGCGAGTATTTGAGGAAAAGTATCAGAACTCGTACTCGGTCTGGAAAAAATAGTATCGGTGCATCCCTAGGTAAATCTAAAGTTGGTTGTATTGCACGGCCATTTTGTAACATGTGTGGCGACCCCGAGACAGAACACTGACGCATTCAACCCAATTTACTCCACAACAGAGGTCTTAGTAACCAATATGGTGATATTTCTTAACGAATCTGCCACGGCCAGAGCGACAGACTGTAAGATTGGCGCACACATAAGAACTAATTGAATTTGTCACGTGCGACGGAAACAGCGGCTTTCATGCCTTTGTCGCAGTACTTTCTAATATGGCCATGACAGCAAACATAAAATAATAATAATATAGTAATAATACAAAAATAACAATATTATATTAATAATACAAAAATAATAAAACATATTAAAAAAATAACAATAATAAATGAAATGTATAATTCTGATGATCAGTTAGCGGGGTGCTCATAATAATAAATTTAAAGCTATGGCAGTCACCATTTGTCATTATATACATTGGGATTGTGCTATAGCTATGACAGCATGGTTAGTCTCATGTCTTCTATATATATAGATAGAACTCCATGCTCTTCTGGAGGGACACATACACACATCTGCATCCTAAAGTGAGGCTCCCTACCCGCCATGTCCGCCTCTGCAGTCACAATCCTACCTGATCCACAGGAAGCCTTTTGTTTATGCGCTTTGTAAGAGGAGGATTGAAAAGGCCAATTAGTGAGCTGGTCCCGCGATGCATTCTGGGACTCGTAGTCCTCCCGGCTCAAGTCAGAACTACAAGTACGGTGCCGCTGTGCGCAAAGCAGGCCAATCAGCGACGAGGTGGACGTTCTATCCCCGCCCACGTCTATTTAGTTAATGGACTTTCTCTTCCGGAATAAGAGCAGTAGCTTGTTTATGGGATCGTGCGGCGCGGCGTAGACCTCTAGTGGTCACATGTGGTTTGTGCAGGCAAATGGCTGTACTCATGACCTATCCTAGAGGTGTGAAGCGGACACAGGGAGAGATAGTGTGAAAATATCAACGTTTAAAGGGAAAGTCCACCTTTTGGAAATAAATACTGTAATAAATGCACATTTCTTCCTAAAAAAGAATGTGCATTCATTATTTGCTTTTGCGGGGTCCCACCCACACCATCTTTTGCATATGACATTACTTTGAGTAATAATACTGAATTACAAGGAATACAAATGTTAATGGCCAGAAAAGATACATACACAGTAACAGAGGTAGTGGCTCTTATATCTGTGTTCAGTGGAGAAATGCCATTTTCTTTGGTGATCATTGATGAAATAAGTCAGTGGAAAAGTGTTTCTTTACATTGTTTCTCATTACAATTGTGGTAAGTAGGAGACGTGTCCACTTATATTGGTGGTCAGTGGAAAGAATGCTTTGTTACATTGGTGGTCACTGGATAAAATGCCATTGGTGGTCAGTGGAATGAATGCTTTGTTACATTGGTGGTCAATGGAAAGAATGCCTTGTTACAATGGTGGTCAATGGAAAGAAAGCCTTGTTACAATGGTGGTCAGTGGATAAAATGCCATGTTACATTGGTGGTCAGTGGAAAGAATGCCTTGTTACATTGGTGGTCAGTGGATAGAAAGCCTTGTTACATTGGTGGTCAGTGGATAGAATGCCTTGCTACATTGGTGGTCACTGGATAGAAAGCCTTGTTACATTGGTGGTCAGTGGATAGAAAGCCTTGTTACATTGGTGGTCAGCGGATAGAAAGCCTTGTTACATTGGTGGTCAGTGAAAAGAATGCCTTGTTACATTGGTGGTCAGTGAATAGAATGCCATGTTACATTGGTAGTCAGTGGATAGAAAGCCTTGTTACATTGGTGGTCAGTGGATAGAAAGCCTTGTTACATTGGTGGTCAGTGAAAAGAATGCCTTGTTACATTGGTGGTCAGTGAATAGAATGCCATGTTACATTGGTGGTCAGTGGATAGAAAGCCTTGTTACATTGGTAGTCAGTGGATAGAAAGCCTTGTTACATTGGTGGTCAGTGTAGTGACCCTTGCTCTGTGCCACCAGCACTGAAACTATGCACACAGCATTAGGTCTACAACCAATCCACCACTGATCACTTCTCAAGGAATCCCTAGCAATCTCTGAAGAACCCCGGGGACCTGCAGAAACGGGGTTAAGAAAGGCAAGTATATAATCACATAATTTTTTATACTTATACAGCTATTCACAAAAGAACAGTTTTTAAGATTGTGTGCATGAGCTGATCACATTCACATACACACCTAAAACACTGTCATAAATATTGTCTTGAATTTTTGTGCTGTAACGGTATGAAAGTCAGAAAATGCTTAAAAGTTTAAAAATATTTATTAAACTTCCCTAATTGAATAGTCCTGGAAGATGTTGTCATAGAAACACTCAGTAGTGTATTAATCCGGGCAAACAGCACCAAAAACATGAAGTCCACTATTTTCTGTCCATATCAATTGCCAACAAATCCACAGTCATCTTTTGTCAAATGCTCTCAACTTTTGCTACACCAGACAAATCATTTTAAGAGTCTGTCCAAGGGGTGGACATGGAGGACCACAGAAGACACTCAGGTGAATGCCCAGGCTTCAAGTCGGAGGATGCGGAAATGCTCCTTACTCGACAGTATGATGTTGTCAAACGTTTCACACCTTTGACTTCTCCCGTTATACAAATCTCCATCCAGCCACAGGCCAATATGACCACTGTGAACAAAATTTAAAAAAAAGGTTACCTATGGCAGAAATATCAACTTTCTATCTTCCATGAGCATTTTGGCATACTTACTTTTTGCCACCTCCGAATGTCAAGGACTGGACATCCCCTCTAACAAAAAAGCTGTTGTCTACCGTCCACCGAAAGACCTTCAATAAAATGTATAGGTTCATTATAGATGTAAAGCCTAACTCCATCCAATTTTTTTAATTTTGCATAAGCAGGCATGAATCAAAGTCTTTTTCAGGTATATGACCCCACTGGGGAGATTTTTTTTTCTCACTTAATAACTGTGTGAAGCCAAGACAAAAAATTGAGGTGCAGTTGTCACTTGAAGTAGGTATGAAATAAAGTAAAAAACATTGTCAGCCGTTCTATGCTTTCCCCTTTATGCTAAAAATACATGTTTGTTGGGGGGATTTCCCTTCATATCTCATCAGGGCAACGTAACTCTTTCTATTGTTAGTTTCCAATAACTATGCCATAGGTTTCCATAAAAGTGAATATATGTGTGGGGAGATTTCTTGTAAGTTTTTGTCTGGAAAAGAAAACTCTTTCTATTGGTGGGTTCCAAGCCCTACTCCATTGATTTGGATCCTAAGCCCTACTCCTAACTTGTACATATTAGCACAGAATTCAGCCTAATATTATAGAATTGCACTTGGCCAATGCGGTGTAAAATAATTTTTGGCATGGCTTTGTTCACTGTCCAGAAATTTTTGGGATATGTCTTGTGATAGATTGAAACATGTAAGTTCCTTCTGTTCTAAGAACGCTTTACTGTACTGTATACTGCTAGTGAAATGTCCTCATTTCCTGGTACACTAAATGACTTCTTGTCACATGAAGTCCTGAATATGTCAGACAAACCTTTGTACTGTGTACATTTGCGGTCTAGTTGACGTCTTGAGACCAGAAACAGCCGGGTTTGGATTAATAAGTCATATTTTCAAACAGAGATAAGAACAAACTTCAATCGCTGAGCCCACATAAAAGTGAAGTAACATTTAATATTTACTCTAAAACATCAGATCTGATCTTCAGGCAAACATCTAAATACACAAATGAAATACATATTCAGTGCAGGAGCTGTTTCACCTGCCGGAGGATTTGTAGGTCTGTCCTTCCAGTCTTGAGCCTAAGGGCCCAATCACACCGGATGTGTTAGGACTGTACTGGCCATTTTCTCCAGTACAGCTGTATGGCAAGACAAGGCAATTTGCCTTGTTTCAGATGGGGTCAGTTCACACCACACAGCTATAGCAAACAGCAAAGCGAAGTCTGGCAGAACAGGAAAACTTTTCCTCTGCTATGGCTTAGTAACATCTACAATCAGCGAGCTCTATTTGTTACATTTAAAGCACTGTCCAATTCCTGTAGGCAGTAACGCCTGATTGGCTTACAGTGCAGCAGTCCCCTCTGATGTACTGGAAGCTAGTACAGAGACACTGGGGTATCATTTAATGATGCATCTACATTTATTTTGAATGAGTGCATATCTGGATTAATAGTGGCCCTTACTAACCAAGAAAGCAATAATTACCTTTAGCTGTGGTGAGAAGCTGAACAGAAAAGTTTCTCCGGTTCCATAGAAACTAGGGCTAACCTTGAGCTCGCTGGAAGAGAAGCCTCCAAAGACCTGTGAGAGATTTATTAAAGGGTTAGTTCACTATGACAAATCACATGACCATAAGGCAGAGAGCGTAGAGGAAATGAGGAGTGAAAGACTATCGCTGCCTGCTCTGTGATAAATGGTGATAGCGGTGACTTTAGGAGCCTGTGAGTAGTTCATATATCTTTGGGTCCCCAGTCTGACAATGGTTTGGAGGAAGCAACTGTGGTCTAAAAGATGGCAGAGGAGCTTCCCCCCAGCCCAATCTATCATTGTGCATGGCTGTGACTGCATCCCTTGCACCATGTCGCTGGCTGTACCAGTGGTTAAGCACACCCTTGCAAAAGACATTATTCATAGTTACATCTATAGTTACATAGTTAGTCAGGTTGAAAAAAGACACATGTCCATCGAGTTCAACCTATAAACCTATATTCAGCCCTGCTATGAGTCACCAGGTGGCCTCTTTAATTTATTTCTGGAGATGACTGGCAGAACAGAGATTGCATGAAGGACCACTAAAGCAAACTGGTCATTATTGTTAGTGGTATTTATAGACCGCCGACAATTTACGCAGCGCTTTACATTCACATCAGTCCCTGCCCTCAAGGAGCTTACAATCTAAAGTCCCTATCGCACATGCACACACAGGGCCAATTTAGACAGGAGCCAATTAACCTTCCAGCATGTCTTTTAGATGTTATAGGAAACCTATGAAAGCACAGGGAGAACATGCAAACGCCTTGCATGTCCTGACCAGGGTTTGAACAGAGGACCCTCAGTGCTGCAGGCCAGAAGTGAAAAACACTCACTTTCTGCGGGCCCTTGTGCTACATAGCTTTTGGCATCTCTAGAGGAGCTTGTTGAATTAGATTGTAAGGCTCCATTTGGAAGAGTGGCCACAGTCAGAGTTAGCGCAGTCAGATTTTTACTCTATACAAATTAATGGGCAGTGCCACCCCGGATTGCATTAGAGCCTCTGCAATTAGGGACTCTGACCGTCCCTGGATGCAGTTTGCGTTGAAGGACAGCGGTTTTGGCCACACACAAATTGGCCACAGATAATGGTCCAGCTTATATGCGGCTGGTGAATGCTGCCTGTCTGAATGAGGTGTAATGTGTATGGTCAGTTATAAGCCAGGCCAACTGTTCTTCATATCAGCAGGACATGCGGATGTTCATCCAGAGGCGTCCCGAGGCAGGGCGTCAGCTGGAGTGGATACCGGGTGACACCCACCGTGATGTCATTGTGCAAGGGAAGAGGGAACGTTCACCCGGCGGGATAAGGTATGCCTGTGGGTCTCCTCTCTCGTGCAACTGTTGAGCTCTCCATGATGGAGTGCCCGACTTTTCAGAGGGGGATACACCAAAATGACTGCCAGTCATTTTTTGTCACACGGGTATTGGCTGCACCCCCCCGCACCCGCCTAGTGACACCACTGTGTTCATCTAATGTCTGTGTAAATACCTTTCCTTCATCATCTTTAATGATAAGTAATGCCGGGGAGCTGATTCTACTCATAGTCCTGTACATAGTCCTCAGGCTGAAGCCATGCTTGTCTGTACTGTATAGCATCTTCCACTTACGTCCTATGACTTTTGGTGGCAAATGTTGTGCAATCTGAAACAATAACAAAATCGGATAATTTATACAATATCAAATCACTCATAAAAGTGACATTTCAAGACTTCCTGGAGACAGGTCACTGCTACATTTACATTGTGGAAATATATAGAACTAAAGGAAAATTATAATTTTTTTAGGTTTTTAATACTGTCCGTCTCCCCTTTAGGGACATTCGCCCTCCCTATTGGTCCTGGCGACCGATATCACTGTAAGTGAAAGAAAGTGCTGAATTTTGGGATGTCACCAGAACAGAAATTGATGGTACATCATCCAATGGGCACACTAGTTGTGACAACAGATGGGGGGGGGGGATTTCCTTTAATTTCCTGCTGTGGCTATTGGAAAGGAAGTAAAGGGAAATGTCCTCAATTGGACACAGATGCCAAAAAACCCTCCCCTACTTTATCCAAAATGAAAAAAAAAAGTATTGGCTTTAGTTCCACTTTAATTCTTCATCCAGTCAATATTAGTACACCTACCTCTCACTTTCATAGAGATGACACTAGATAAAGGGTATCTATAACCAATTATGTTTTATTTTATTTATTTACTCGCTCGTGTCCTGTTGGAGGGATTTTACTTGACTTCCTGTCCCAAAGATATAGCAGGAAGTGAGGAGACAACTATTCAAAGGACGGACAGCTGTCACCAGCATAGGTGTCCACACTGGAATTCCTGTGTCAGTGACAACTATAGAATTTTGGATTTTCCATCACTTTCCGTCTGGATGACAGTGGTCACAAAGACACATATAGAGAGGGTAATTCTCCCTAGCAAGAACACAGACGGCTGTAGGAACCAGACAAGTCTTCTAACCTCCCCATCACCACCACTATTCTATTCAAAACTAAACAATGAAGTTTTACTATCAGATACACTTTAAAACCCAACTAAACCCTCAGCTAAATACATTCCTGGTGCATCAAAATAAACAGTGTTTAATGTCTTCTTTCTAAGGGCTCATGCACACAGAAAACTTCTATTATGGCATATCTCCCCTGCTAGGGAACCTCAGGTGCTGCATACAGCATCCCATAGAAGTCAATGGCTGTCAGCAGGATATGGTGGTACTTGCATATGGCCACGTATGTGTAAGGGTGTATCTCCCCCACCAGGCAGCATCAGGTGCTGTATACAGCCTCCCATAGAAGTCAATGGCTGTAAGCAGGCATATGATCGTACTTGCATACGGCCATGTATGCGTAAGGGCGTATCTCCCCTGCCAGGGAGCCTCCGGTGCTGCACACAGCCTCCCTTAGAAGTCAGTGTCTGTACGCAGGCATTCGCTGGCACTTGCATATGGCCATGTATGAGTAATGGCAAACCTTCTCTGCCAGGGAGCCTCTGGGAATGCACACAGCGTCCCATAGAAGTCAGTGGCTGTACGCAGGCATACGCTGGTACTTGCATATGGCCTTGCATGCGTAAGAACGTATCTTCCCTGCCAGGGAGTCTCAGATGCTGCACACAGCCTCCCATAGAAGTTAATCGCTGTAAGCAGGTATACGCTGGTACTTGCATACGGATGCCTATATACGTAAGGACATAAATTGCTGAATGCAGGTTTTCTGTGTCCAGGGATTTACATCTGTATGGATATGTGTCTGTAGCCATGTACACCTTATACTATATCTTACACCCATATACCTGCAATCAGATGACGCAATAGAGTTCCTTAACCCACATAGCTTATATTTGAACTACCGTATGTAATAACAAATCCTATGCCAGCACCGCGTCTCTGTGCTACAAATGATATATACTTTGTTTGTATAAAGCCAAGTCCTCTACAATGAAATCGTAAATCATTAAACGATGATCCTTGTTTTATATTAAAGACGTTGGCACTCACCTGCTTGACTTCGTCATTCCTGAGAATCTGACTGCAGTCAATCAATACCGGTTCATCCGCCTCCTCTTTACTCTTCCCACAAACCTTTTTCTCAGTTTTCACATCTGATTCTTCTATGACCTCAAAATCAGAATCATCGCTGGAAAATTTATCTTGGAGATCGTTTTTCTGTTAGACCAAAAAAGACATTTTGATTTGACATTTTATGGTCAATAACGTGGTCTGCGTTACAAGGGGCGCTCATTTAAAGCTGAACTCCGGCTTTGCATTCAGTCTTGCACAGTTGTACCGGCTCCATTCCTGGACTGAAATTGGTTACTCTGATTTCACTGCTCACAATGTGCATTAGAAGCTGCAGCAATTCAGGCAGAGCCCGCCTCATCTCCTGGCTGGAGGATGTCCAGCATCGTCTAGCCTTTTCCTCCCCAGCCTGACTGTCCCTTTCTTTCATTGGATTTCAGTTCTTTCAATCATGGAGGCCCAGCATGACATGTGGGCATTACCTAGGGTGATCTGCAAAATCAGGACCAGGGCCAGATTTACCATTAGGCAGAGTCGACACGTGCCTATTGGCGCCCTCCATAGAGGGGCCTACAGGAACCACTGGCTTCTTAAAATGCAGGGGAATGACCCCGGCACTGCGTAAGGGTGTCATGTAAAACGCCTGTCTGATGCGGACAGGCGTTTAGGGCAGCCTTACGCGACACAGGGGTATGTGAAAACGGATGCGTCTCGCAGCATGTAAGGGTGGCGGCTCAAGCTAAACAGGTTTCCATTCGTGCCAACAGGCGCCAGAAATGGAAATCCGACCCTGATCAGGACCATGGTGGGGACCAAGTATAGAATTTGTTTTCCTCCACTACTTTTCCTTTACACTGGCCTTCCAGAAGAACCAATACAATAATGTAAAGCTGCAAGCCCCAGTGCAAGCATTAATAAAAGTTTTGCCAGGAGTTCTGCTTTAAGGTGCACTTAACCCTTGCAGTGCAGGAAGGTTTTACTTCAAGGGTATTTTTTCCTAGTTCCTGGAGCTGGGCTTTCGATAGAGCATTTTTTAATAATTTTTTGCACACCAATCCTGAAAAAAGGGCAACTGAGGAAGAAAAGAGGGACAGAGGGATTTGGTTCCAAAAAAGTGACAGTCCCTCCATATGAAGGACAGTTGGGAGCTGTGGCCAAGCTTTGGCACCTGGGAAAGGAAGGGAAGGACTTGTGTCCACAGTCCAAGTTAGGAGCTTTTACCAAAGTGCATTAGAAGCTCTCTATGAGAAGATCCTTTTATGTGCTAAAGCATTAACCAACAACAAGGGTAAACAAAGGCCAAAGAGAACATAGGACAGGACTGGGATTTATACCGAGTTCATCAACAATGGAGGCAGGTGCTGGCAGGGGATGTATCCACTCTGTCGATTATGTTCATGCCAGAAAATAAGCGCCATGAAGAAACAGATTTATATAAGCAAATATGATACCCAGCTACATTGGATTACAGGACATTCTAAGTTTTATCACTTACACATTTTATTTTTTAACAAGAAAGAGGAGGTCGCATTAAACTTACTTAATTTCAGGTTATGTGCACTTAATTTTTTATATTGTGAGCCGCAGCAGTAGGTCCAGTTCAGTGTACAGATGGCAATAGAAATGTGTCACCCGAGCTATTTTGAATTAATTGAATACTTACCTTTTGGTGAACGCTCCCTCCACTCCGCAGGTGTGGGTTTACTACCTGTACCCTGGACTGCCATCCAGAACAGCCCTGCACTTTGGATATTGAATTTCGCTTGCAAATGGCGAGCACTCATTGCTAAGTGCGGTCACCTGAACGTGCTGGCCAATTATAAGCACTTCTGACCATGCTGAGCAATGAGAAGAAATACTGCGCTGACCAGTGAGTGCTTGCCATTTGTGAGCGAAGTGCAAAATCCATAATACAGGACTGTGCTACATGGCAGTACGGGGTACGTATAGTACATGCGTACCGGCGGAGGGGAAGGAGCGTTTGCCAAAAGGTAAGTATAGCGGGGGGCGGGGAGAGGGGCCCAGACTGGAGCAGGTCATTCTATTTTCCCAAATTCACTTGGAAAAATGAGCTCACCCTTTAACCCTGCCTAGCGCTGAGTGTCAGCTTGAGGTGGGATGGGATGGAGCTATGGCCGCGAGGGAGCTCCATCCATACATGTTTTGCTTACAGCTCCCTCATGTGTCCTGTAGAGGTGCCTGGATCGGAGTGATGGCACTTTCTGGCTCCCGACACCTCTACAGGGCCCGGAAGGGAGCTGTACAAGCAATGCACATATGGATGGAGCTCCGTCATAGCACAGTAGCCCACACTGGCCCCCAGGCTGAGGTTCCACTCCAGTTCTCGAAAGATAGGGAGATTGGGTGGATCTTATAAAGAAAACAAAAATAAATAAAACATAATTTTTTTGGGAGTGTGTATGAGAATGTCTGAATGTGTGAGATTGTGTCTGTGGTTGTGTGTGTCTGTCAGTATTTTTGAGGTCCCGTTCACACTAGTACAGTGCGTTAATCGCACTGCCCGGTGCGATTAACGCACCTTACCATGCAATCGCGCCTTCTGCGCATTCTGGTGCAGGAGGTGTGTTGCAGTGCCATTCTGGTGCAATGCCGTGCGTTCCAGTGCAATGCAACTTGGGTCACGACTTAATGACCAAGGACAAATGTCATTCCCTTCACTCCCTCTACTGGTTGGCCGTCTTTATTTTGTGTTGACTAAACATAGAAAAGCTTGTAGTATAAACACGACACCTTCCCAACATTGTATGCATTAGTTACATAGAACATTAACCTGGATTCCAATTACAGCACCGTCATCACTTCAATGAAAAGTGGGTCATTAGTGCTAAACAGGAACATGACTGGCGCACGTTCCCTCCGATGTGGATGGGTACTCGCCGAGTTGTAGAGCAGTGACCCTAACGCTTCCTGCTGTGACAACGTTCCAAAACCGCAGCATAAATTTGCTCTTCATTTAAAGCATATGTAAAAATTGCTAAAATCTCCTATGAGCTTTAACATTATGATGTCAAACAAGAGTCATTATTAATACGGTATATTTCTATCTGCAGCATTCATGAAAATACATATATATATTTACATTGTTTTTAAAGAAGAAAGAACACTGGGCAATGTTTTTTGATTAAATCTTGTAGTGGGGCTACTCTCGCACTGCAAGGTTTACCTGCTCGTTTTGGTGCTAAAAATAAAAAGGTTATACTCACCCGATCCCCTGAGCCGGTTGGCTGTGACATTGCTTCCTCCAGCCTGTCTCCTACTACGCTGCAGCAATGATAAGTCCCCCGGCATCCTCACATCCTATACACACAGTATATAGAACATGAGGATTTATGGGACCTTAGACTGCTGCAGCGGAGGGGGATTGGGGCTGGAAGGTCTAAGAACAAGCCGGCTTGGAGGTTCAGGTGATTATAACTTTATTCTTTATGTCTCTAGATGAAAACAAGCAGGTAACCCTTGCAGTGCGTGAGTAGCCCCACTGCAAGGGTTCATGAAAAATTATGTTTTAAGGTTGAATAAAGACACAGGTCCATCCAGTTCAACCTATGTTGATAACCTAAAACCTAATACCTGGTGATCCTGCTGAGAACATCCTAGTTTAGGCATTTCCTGTTATAGGATGACAGCGCTTTATCCCTGTCGACTAATTGTACTCATGCGTTGTCACCTTATCACAAGGGGTTCTGATCAAAACTACAAAGGGTCATTTTAGCAAACATAGTACAGGCATGGTTCACTGTTGTCACCATCAGGAAGTCTGCCATGCAGCCATCACTATGTGTATGTATGCATGAAGTGGTTACAAAGAGGCTGCAGGTTAAAAAAGAAGAAGGCAGTTGTTTATGACACAGTGGTTCAGCACACCAAGACCCCAGTCACACTTTTTCTGAGCAACTTAGCATTTAGCTCTTTATTTTGCACAATTGTTGGGCATAGTGCATAGAGCACCATCATTATTTGAATGGGCTGCCCTACGCGTAAACATATGTGGCAAAGAAGCTCATGCAGGTTTTTGATCTGCACGTGTTTTTTGCACGTTTTGTTGTCCACCTTTGGCGAACACAAAACATGCGTTATTCTAGCTGCATATGGAGTGCCTGTAACAATGAATGGCACCACCAGCACGACATGCGGTTTTTATTAATCAGATCTATTATGACAATAAACAGAAATGTATCAGTACTTGTACCTGTGAGGACTTGGGCAAGTATCAGTACTTGTATTTGGAACAATTTACAAATCCCAGGAGCTCCGTGTGCTCCTTACAAATGACAGCGGCCTCCTAACTTTTGAGTTTGTCTCTAGTCTAGTCTTGGAGCTGGAAAAGTATCTGTACTTGTACTGAGTACGGTACTTGGTATCTGAACATCCCTAATCAGATGTAAGCTAATTTTAAAAAACCTAAAAAAAACATTTTCCATGGACTCGTGGCAAAGGGAGTCCAATATAATGGAATAGCAAGGTACAGCAGGGCAATAAAGTGAATATCGCTGAGGCCTAGCAACATTGAGGTGCCAGAACCATATCTGCCTAGAGTCTGCATGTTCTTCCTGTGCTTTTGGGGTTTCTTATGCTTTATGTCTATGAGTCAGAAAAGACAGTGGATCAGCATGGCAACCAGCATGATTGTATTATTGCTGCCAGGTATTTTACACCAGCAGTCATGCAGGACATTGGATAGAACTTTAATATTCCAAGATGCAAATCAAACTACAGTTATTTCAGTTGAAGAAACTTCCAGCTTAACTTATGATACTGATTTACATTTATGCTGTGTTGTATTCAAATAGAACTCTAGGTAAAGTGCAGAGACAGATATACGTGAAATGTTTTATAATCCTGTCCAGCAAGTCTTGTGATTTACATACACTGCACCATTGGGAAATAGCATGATATAGGATGGTGAGTGTGCACCTGATATACTGACACCTGTGTTTTGTGTTTGAGGCTGTTGTCATCTCCCAGGGGTCTACTTTCCCTAACTTCTTTATGAGAATGACGTAATTAAAGATAATGAATAGAGACAACACCTGCACCAGGAAATCTAGGGGAATTAATATTTGTGACACATATTGCTGGTGTTACAACAGGTAAACAGCTTTCAGGATCAAAGTGTAGTCAGTGATATTATCTGAGTAGAAAGTTATAATGGACTTCCTGCTTCCATGGATAGCATTATAGAGGTGTTGGGGTGGGCCTAGGGTTGCCACTTGATTCACCCAGAGAGTCCGGGTTTTGAATGCTGTGTCTGGGTTTCATGGCAGCTGAAACCCGGACACAAGATGTCAGGCAGACAGGGGCAACCAAAATTAAGATAGGGGCTACTGGAACCCCACTGAAAATAGTCTCGACTGTGATATTTACAAATGAATGGATGGCGCTATTTACATACGAATAAGCCACGAATCAGTCTCCCCCCAAAAATTCGGTGCATCACTAGAGTGTTCGTGTTTCGCTGGAAGAAAATGTGGCAACCCTAGGTGGGCCTGTTTTACCACTAAGTCCATGTCCCTTGGAGAGCCACAGATTTCAGAGTTTAGTCCTTGAAAATGATCCCCTAAAAGTGTCCCTGGTTTTTGGATCTGGCCAGCAGCATGTTAAGGTGCCATTGCATGTAGGATGCTTTTCAAGATCCATTGTCTTAGGGTTACGTAAGGGTTTGTATACTCATCACATTACCTTGCGCTGAAGCCATAATGCTGTGTGATGCCAAAAGCAATGCTTTCACATGGATCACGTACTCACTTACTTAGAATGTTGCCCTGCGGGTCCTTCATAAGGCTGCTCTATGGAATCTTTTCAAAGTACAGTGTGTTTGCAACTGCATGGCAACAAAAGTTAATCCAGTTCTACCTCTAGGTTATCCCGCCTCCAGTTACTCCAAATTTTGATGCCATGCAATTGGCCTACGTCTTCACAAGATATCCCCCTTTTAGATATTCCAAATTTCATAACCATGCAATTGGCCTACTATCTCTGCACAGGCATCCCCGATTCAGTTATTTCATCATTTGTTGCCATGAGATTGGCCTCCTCCTATACCTTCTATCCCCCCTTCAGGTATTCCAACTTTTATTGCCATGTGATTGACCTACCTCTACATAGACTATCCCCCTTTTAGATATTCCAGATTTTGTAACCATGCAATTGGCCTACCTGTGTACATTTTATCTCTCCTTCAGTTATTCCAACCATGCGACTGGCCTACCTCTGCACAGACTATTCCTCCTTTAGATATTCCAAATTTTGTAACCATGAGATTGACCAACCTCAACACAGGCTATCCCCCACTTCAGTTATTACAACTTTTGTTGCCATGTAATTGGCCTACTTCTGCACAGACGTTTCCACTTTTAATACTCCAAATTTTGTAACCATGAGATTGGCCTACCTTTACACAGGATATCCCACCTTCAGTCATTCCAACTTTTGTTGACCTACCTCTACACAGGTGACCTACCTGTACACAGATGTGGGAAAGTCGAGCAGGTGTGGGGATTGGTTAGAACAATGATCGAAATCCATGCTCGTAGACCAGGTTTACTACTATAAAATGATTTTCATGGAGCCAGACTCATCCACCTCACCAAACCCTTAAACTGGCCATACACCTATAGATTATTTGCAGATTTCCTATGGTCAGGTGGAAAAACAGATTCCTCCATCTACGCTAAACTGTGTGGATGGAGGAATCTCCTGCTGGCCCAAGCTTCAGTATCTTGCTAGTCGGCACCGCTGGCTCTCAAAGTACCTGAACAATACTTGCATCCAATAAGACTGTTCAGGTATTTTGACAGCCAGCGGGGCCGACTAGCAAGATACTGAAGCTTGGGCCAGCAGGAGATTCCTCCATCCACACAGTTTACCGTAGATTGAGGAATCTGTTGCACTTTTTCCATAGAAAATCTCCAGATAATCTATAGGTGCATGGCCAGCTTTAGTGTCTTCTGCTCCTCTCTGTTAATTTCATTCACCCAACAAATTAAATTCAGAATACTTACAACATTCAAAGCCATCCACAACTTTTCCCCCAGCTACATCACCAACCTCAACTTAAAATATTACCCGAAAAGTCCTATTTGCTCCTCTCAAGTTTGCCTCCCATGATCCTCCCAAGATCCCTCATCACCTCTTCACCACCAGGACCTCTCCACAGAGCATCTCCCATTCTCTGGAACTCCCTGCCCCAATCTGACCATCTATCTCCTACTCTATACACCTTAGGGTGATCCCTAAAAACTATTCTGATCAGGGAAGCCTATCTTCCCTCCTCAAGCCAACAACTTACATTTTACTTTCTCCATCACTGTATGCAGCGCCCACCAGTCCGCACAGGAAATCGCTGCGGGCTACTGCGAATGAGCCCTTACAGTGGCAGGCAATGTATTCACACTGCAGCAGCATAAAAAAAAAAGTACTATTAAAAAAAGTACTATTCTTTTTTTTCTGTGCGTTTCCAGCCCATCCAAACTACAGCAAATGCTCTGCTATCCAGTATTCAGCTAACCAGAAAAAAAAATCCCCTGTGTACTCACTGTTCTGCTGATCTGCATATATTATCCTGGAAACGATTGTGTGCCTATTTGTCCTAATTTGTTTTAAGTGTGTCTATTTGTCTTAATTTGTTTTTGATTACTGCATTTCAATATTAATATGAAGTCAATACAGAGTTTATGGTATTGTATTAGTTAGACCTATCTTTAATAGTAACTCTCAAGCAACCAGAGACTGCATTTGTTGGAGAGATAGATAGATAGGTAGAGAGAGAGAGAGAGAGAGAGAGAGAGAGAGAAGAGGAAATAGAGAAGAGAGAGAGATAAGAGAGAGAGATAAGAGAGATAAGAGAGAAGGGAGAGAGGAGAGAGAGAAGAGACAAGAGAGAGAAGAAAAAAGAGAGTGAGAGAGAAGAGAAAAGAGAGAGAGAAGAGAAAAGAGAGAGAGAGAGATAAGAGAGAAGGGAGAGAGGAGAGAGAGAGAAGAGAAAAGAGAGAGTGATAGAGAAGAGAGAGAGAGAAGAGAAAGAGACAGAGGGAGAGAGGAGAGAAAAGAGAGCATTTGTTAGCTATCCTGTCACAATGTCACATCTAGCACCCAGATCAGAAAACAATATAGAGAATTGACCTAAATATTCCATACAGCTCCATATAGCCTTAAACATATGTCAACAACAGCAATTTGGCAATGTATGTCTATATACCAAGTACCAGCATAATGGACTAAGTTCTTCCATTGATTGCAGTGGAATCATTTCCTGATAAATGACCTCACCGTGGACAACCAAAGGGTTAATTCTTTGCACAAAATCTACATATTATAAAAGCAAAAAGGTAAATATCCAAATAAGTAGACATGTCATTCCTAATTGTGCTGTTTCTTTGCTGAACAGGTAGCATGGGGCTCTCAGTTATTAATACTAATCCATCTCTTGCCACAATGATTCAAGACAATAGACGAGCAGACACAATACACCCATAGCAGACGGTTAGCATAGAATTTACTGGCAGCCTTCTGCCACCTACCAGGGGAGTGTAGGAGCAGCGAATGGTCCTCATGGTCCCTGGGCTGGGTACAGGTACAGTGAAGTCTGGATGATTGTCTGAGGTTGTATGACGGGTAGACACACCTACACTGTGCACCTTTACCTGTCATACTCTGATCACACCCAGACCTTTGGCCAAAGCGCCTGCCTTGTGATCATGTGATCTATGGAGTAGGACAGACATAATCAGGGTTTACTGTATACACAGGAACTATTTACAATCCAGCGAGGTATATATACAGTGTATATATATATACATATATATATATATATATAATATTATGTGAATTAGTGAAACTTGTGATTTTAAGTGCCCATGCGCACTAAAGCGATCAGTTGCTGTGAGATAACGCATGCGCATTAACGCAGGTTTTTGCACACCTTAACATTTGTTGCATTAAGGCATCCCATGTATTATATATCCTCCACTTCTTCCAAATACTTTAAAATAGAACTTCGGGCACATATTTTATTAACCCTTGCAGCGGGGCTATCCCCTGCGCCGCTCGTTAAAACACGCACAAATGCGCAAGATAAAAATGCAGGGCGCACATCGTAGATTTTTTGACATGAGCTACTTTTCTGCATTTGTCACGTAAGCAGGAACCCATTGAGTTCATAAGCTGCCAGTGAAAAGGTGCGTCTGCCTGTACACGTGTACAAACGCGCATTAGCATGTGCACAACCCGCATAAATGTGCAAATAAATGCACACTGAACACGTGCGTACAAACGCGCAAAAACGATGCCGCCTAGGTGTGAGCCCGGCCTTAAACTTTTTTTACAGGCTGCCATTGATTGGATTTTTTCATGTAGTGACAGGGTCACTTTAAAGCTGATTTTATACCGTCTTGTTCGTTTCCTACTTTAAACATCTTGAGTACGAAAGTCTTTTTCTTGCCTATCATGTATGCAATCCTCTAACGTGATTAAAGTGTATGTAAACCCTAACAATTAACTCTTATTTGTTCCATCATGGTCGGTAAACAGGGAACCAGTGAAAGTGTGTATCTGTTCGATAAGTGACAAAAAATCCCTGTACCTGTTGATCTGCCAGATATCCAGTGATCCCGGTAGTTCCTGTTTGAGCTGACATCCCAGCCAGTACCCAAATTCAGCTCTGTAAACTATAAACGCCCACCCTATGATATGGAGATGAGCAGGCCCGGCGCTACCGCAAGGCAAGACAGGCGGCCGCCTGAGGGCGCTGCAGGGTGAGAGTGGAAAAAACAGAGCATTTTGACAAGTACTTGTCAAAATGCTCCGATGCTTGCGATGTGTTTTTTTTGCCAGAGGTGCCGCGCGTGTCGAGATCCTCTGGCAGTCACCGGCCAGCTAAATTAGGACCCCACCTGGAGCTCCTCCAACCGGACCATTTTGCTGCAGGGGGGGTGCAAAAATTCAACTTTGCCTGTGTTGGCAAAAATCCTAGCACCGGCCCTGGAGATGAGGAGAGGGGGAGATGTTCTGTACTCCAAATCGGTTGTGCATACCTCCCAATTTTATAAAATGACAAAGAGCGACACCTTCCAGCACAATGTATTTAGGCAATGGACACACCCCATGTTATGCAGACTATTACGAATTTATAAGCCAAAAATGATTGGTTAAACTATTTTTTCTTTCACCATTTCTTTTCCTTTATAGTGGCTTTTCTATGTATCAAACTAGACATGTAACCTGCGGAAAAATTTGGGTCGGTTCAGTTTGGATATTTCGGGATTCGGGTCCGAAATTCAATTCGGTTCGGGTTTTCGGATTCGGACGAAATCTAAATTTTCATTAGTTTCGGAAAACTTTACGTACGAATATTGGTTATGACTACCACAGAAAACCATGTACAGATATTAATACTAAAGCTGAATCTTCCTGACCCGAATGGCATTCGGGATCCGAATTTCCGAACTGCATTCGGGAGCTCCTGAATGCCATTCGGGTCTGGGAGCCATATACTGTACATATATTACTAAATCTGAGGATTCGCGACACGAATAGCATTCAGGAGCTCCCAAATGCAATTTGGAATTTCGGATCCCGAATGCCATTCGGGTCTGGGGGCCAAATACAGTACATGTATTACTAAAGCTAAGGCTCCCAGACCCGAATGGCATTTGGGAGCTCCCGAATGTAATTCGGATCCCGAATGCCATTTGGGTCTAGGAGCCTCAGCTTTAGTATTATATGTATATATATATATGGCTCCCGTGTTGCCATAACGAAAATTCATATTCAGACCCATTCAGATGCAATAAACTGAAAAACACATCTGATTGGCCAGAAAAGTCACATGTCCGATTCAGTTTAATTTTTGAACGAAATTCGGACGGGGTCCGAAAATTCGGAAACAGAAATTCGCATTCGGACACATTGGGATTCGGAAATTCGGATGTGTCCGAATTTCAGAAAATTCGTCCGGATTTTGATTCGGAACAAAACGAATCGCACATGTGTATATCAAACAAGATAGTTAGGAGATAAGATAAAGTGATGGTGACGTCACTGCACTTGTAACCCATTCATTCTTCCTCCCATCCATGTTGCTGAATGTCTGTACCTCGGTACGGACATGCACTGGAGGAAGAGTCTGCAGAAGTCAGAGCATTGCACTTGCCATCTAAGGATCATGCTGGGAATGCTTTACTGGCCCCAATACAAAAAATTATAAATGCTCATTTTCTTATTTGATGAGGAAGATTGCGCATTTATTATTTTTCTTAAAAAGTGGACTTTACCTATAACAACTTTAGTTTCAGCATCCCTTAACATGATTCTACATGCCGAGGTACACCATACCTGTGAATTAATCCTGGGTAGGATCCTTATCTCTCTCACACCCGGCTGATATTCAGAATGTTTTCTGTTTTATTTTAGCAGGGAGACCAGAAAATCTTGTTCAGCGTTGATACATTTGTTAGCAGAATTGTGATGTCCTCTATGGACACACACTCCCAAGTATGCGCTCAGATCTGCAAGATGATATGTGTCTGGTATTCACTTTTATTACCCTTTCCCAATATCATATCCAAAACTTGCTCTTTAAAGAAGAACTCAGGGATTTTTTAAACTGAGGTTCGGGTGATTTTTCCTTCTTTATTTTTGCACCCTAGACAAAACGAGCACTTAACCCTGGAAGTGCAGGTGGGTAGCTTCACTGCAAGAGTTAAATCCCGGCGTTCTTCTTTAAAGTGGACCTCCAATGAACAGTAAGTCTGGTAAATCAGTTTAAGATACAGTATGTCACAATATGGAGCAACAAAACATTGAATTATTTCGCTGTGACACCCGTGTCCATACAGTTTTTTTTCTTCCTGCATGTCTGTCTATGGGGAATTGGATGTAATCAGGTTACCCTCCAACACAATCCAGCCTGGCGAAACGGATCTCTGATCCATTTGACCGAGCCGGAGTCGGGAATAACCGGGTGTAGACAGACGCCCATGTGTTTACACACGACTGCCCATAGACTTACATTGCATGCTAGTGCACACGTGCTCACAGTGGAAATTGGCACACAGGAAGTGACACGTTGCTCTCTAATCTAATGCTCTATTTAAACCAGCTGGCCCAATGGATCAGTGCTGAATGGTCTTTTTAGCTTGTGCTTTGTGTTCCTGCTGTTTGTTTGCCTGTTGCCTTGACTCGGATTGCTGCTGACCTTGATTGACCGCTGCCTGCCCCTGACCTCTGCTAGTTATCTGGATTCTGCCTCTGCCTGCTCCTTCTGTACCGTAATGATAGTCTGGCTTGACCCATGGCTTGTTTGACATCGCTCCAGTTTCCACTGCAATCCTCACTGACATCTCAGCTGCCAACCAGCCCTGCTCATCCTTCCAGGGACCCAGTGGCTGGACTTCTACCAGGCACCGTGTCTGAACACCGTGGCACCCGTGCTCCTCTCTGTCTACTCGCTCCCTGTTCCCACTCTCAGGGGTGTGAGACAAGAGCCCCAAGGGAGGCCTCCTCTGCCAATCGGTCCTCCACCAGGTACGTGATACCGTACTGTCCACCTGTAGCCCATACTGACCACATGAGAGCCCGCACTGACCACATGAGAGCCCGCACTGACCACATGAGAGCCCGCACTGACCACCTGGAGCCCACACTGACCACCTGAGAACCCGTACTGACTACCTGGAGCTCACCCTAACCACCTGGAGCTTGCACTGACCACCTTTCAGCTGGCATTCCTTGATCAGCTGATGGAAGGTGCCGGCTGGAATATCTTTGTACAATCAGAGCCAGCAGCCAATGAGCCGCCCACTCTGATCTTGTATTCTAATAGGTGCTGGCGGCACCTGTCAGAATACAATGCAAACAGCAGCGTTTCCTCAATCGACACGCTGTTTGTGTTGATGGAGGAATCGCGTCAATTTCTTCCGTTCAGCCCGCGGGTTGAACGAAAGAAATTGACAGGTGTATGGCCAGCCTTAGGACTGCAATTTGTGGATCGTATTTCTCTCATTAACTTCATTAACATTTGAATGGCTAGGAATCTAATCCTTTAACCCCCCACAACCCTCCTAACATTAACAAGAAGGAGAAGCAAGTAGAAATTTGAACCCTTAAGAAGCCAAGAAACCCTAACCCAGGTAAAAGCAATTTAAACTGCTAGAAGCATTTCTCAAATATATATTTTTCTAGCCTATGCTATGTGAGTGGGAACATGTAACAGATATAAAATGGGTGTTATCCCAATGCGGCTGCAGGATGCAAATACATATAAAATATTGGTCCTACTGTAACACTCCAAAAATCCACTTGGTGGCGTAAGAGTCCACGAAGAGAATCAGCAGTCTTAGTTAACTCAATAGATGTTAACTAGAACAGAGGTTTCCTAAACTTAGTGCTCACCCTCGAAGGAGCCACTGGATGAACGGGTCTGCCATTGCCTGTCTAGGGGATTTTAGCAACCTGGCTGCCCCAATAGCACTTACCACACTTTTGTCGCCACCGATAAAGTGAGATTCAGACTGTAGATATGATGCTAAAGGAACTTTATCTCCCAGGGAGAGAGGTTTAGGGCTTAGGACATCCATGGGAAAAATAGATAGACTCCAGATTCAC